TTGTTGCGGTTCACAACAGCTTACATCTTGAATTTAGACTAGAGGTGTTGATTGGTTTGAGAGGTATCGGGTACAATGGTAGGTCCACAAGGACTGCTGGGAGAATCAAATGCTGCAGCTGGATTGAGTGGAAAGGAACGGGGCTGGGATGATAACAGAACACGTCGAGCGAGCCCCCTTCATACCAGTTCTGTTGCACTCCACTAGGTTGGCTTCAAGCGACATGTCAATGGACGAGTCGTAGTCCAACCCGTGATTCAGTCTTCTGCCTTGGAGAAAAATGGGGCGAAAACATCAGCAATGGGGGTGGGGGTGGGAGAAGTCCCTCTCCGACCGAAACATGTTGCCATATTTAAAATCGAAACTGATAGCGTCAGTATTCAAGAAACGCGGCGCAGACACAGAGGGACAGGATTCTCATTTTCGTAAACGAAACCTCCCACTCTCCACAAGACCTAGATACGTCACTGGGCGAAGGCGTATTCATTGAAAAGTTTATTACCGTAAAAAAGAAAGTTTTCACTGTCTTGAATTCGGAGCACACACCGTATTGGGTCCTGCGCTATGCATTTGTTTGTTGATATCAATATGCCTGTCGGCCAAATATTCCTTCCTTATGCATTTTCCATGCTTAACTCACATTTTCCGAGGGAACGAACAAAATGCTGGACAACTGACAGGCGTGGTTACTCCCCCCCCCCGTTTAAATATACTCTTGGTCTTTTCGCGCTGCTGAATGCACAGGTAGGCCCACATGTTATTTAAGTTGACCCTTGCCCCCAAAAGTCTAATGGTTTAGACAATATCTGCATCATAATACATGTGCAGTGTGCTTAAAAGTGAATGTGAAATTTCCGAATACGCATGCAGATTAGAAACTGCAGTTGTCATCGTGGACGTAAACTTCAGACAAAACTTTTCAGGAAATGAAGGCTTACAAAAGTCTTTTATACTAAGTTAAACTGTATACTGTACAGTAAACCGCCAGTAAATGACAAAACATCCAATAAATGGCGGGGCCATTGTCATGGTGAGGAATACCATTGTGGTGCGAATTTCCCTGCTGCGCCCGAAAGCCAAGGATATCACCTCTCGTGTTGACACAATGGTGCTCTGAAAGCCTTTCCCACAGGAGCAGAAGGCCTTGGCAAGACAGAGCAAGTTACTGAACGTATGCAACCTCGTTTTCGGCCAACGGTGGGCGAAGCCAGGCAAGACTCGACCAATCAGTGGCGAGCACAGAGTTTCCTGAAGGAAAGTTCTATTTTTCAAGGGTCAACATTGTAAACCCCCACGAGAAGGTATTTAAAAGCACGATTTGACATATATTACCCATCTGATCCTGCCAGGCACTGAATACATTTACTATTTGTACTATTGTAAACGCCTGTTTAAATGTATTAGACTTCAGCGACAAGCCAGGGAGGCTATAGTCAAAAATTTTCAACCAGTCAAGGTAAAAAGGTGAGCCTAAAGTCGTCATTATTATCTTAATCTTACACCTTTTTGGTCCAGTTTGCAACAAGTTTGTTCAATTTAAAACCAGCCTTCTTATCCAGTCCGGACTGGATAAGAAGGCTGGTTTTAAATTGACTAGTCCGTCAGGTTTCTTGCTTTCCTTACACCCATATTTTTAGATCTCGATTTAACGTTGACCTGATAAAGGATATCCTTATTTTAGGAAAAAAAACAGTAGGCCTACATAGAAAGCTTGCACGTTGCTTTGCAACCCTTTTTGTAGTGAAGGGCAACGTGGTTTCTGAGGAAAGCAAAGTGCACCAGCATCTATCGCTCTTCTGCTCGTGAGTAAAATCACTTTGTAGCTATCCTGGCCAAAACTCGTTGGGCCCTGGCCCCCTCTCAATGTTAGGTCTCAATGCGCGGTCTACGCTCCAGTTCGGGATGACAACATTGACCGGGGGAGTGGGCCGGGGTACCATGGGAGGTATGTGTATTGACACGTGTCCAAACAATTTGGCCAGGATTGTAGAACATCATCTGATCCAAGGTGTGGACTGCTGATCACGTGTCTAAGTATAGTTCGCACAGGAACTGATGTTGCGTTCAATTACCTCACTGTCCACGCCGTGATCTTATCTTGAATACGTCATGCAGAATTCATTGTATTCGTCACCTATCCTCGATTTTTATATCACTGTAATAAATTAACCCTAACAGTCCTAAGTCCTCCAACAGGTGAAGGATTGAGGAGTGTTAGGGTTAACGAATAAGCTGGCATTGAAAGTGTCTGCCCAAAATTCGGTGATACTTAAGTCATGATTCATGATGATGTGACGTGTTTTATAGATGTTGTAGTAACTTTACACTGCAGAGCGCTGACCCTCGAGGTTTAAGCCTTTGCCTTGGTCTTCAGGCTTGCTGGTCAAAGTCTTGGCCATGAGAACCAAAACCTTTGCTCCAAACACTGGCTTGTACTCAGACTGACATTATTACGCGATCGTGTGATTTATGAATAAAATTTGAATATTCATTGCAACCCATAATACATGTTTATCCAAGTTATATTTTGCCAATCTGAATTTGCAATTTTTATCTAAAGGATAGCTACAATCATGTTTTTCAATGTAACCCTTCAACTTTGGTTTGATTATTTCAAAATTTTCGATGGGTGTTTTACTGCCTTTTTCGCCTTTTCCCTGTTCGTGAGCAACTGTGATGCTGTCCCAGGAAGAAAGCCTCAACGTAACATTGGTCTGAACATAAAAATCCTGCATATTTTGTAGATTTGCTGGACTAGATTTTCTCATCTTTCACCGATTCATTGTTGTCCATATGCACAGCAATAAGCATTCATCAATACCTGTCCCAGAAATGCTTTTTTGTGTGTGAAATTTGGGTTCACAAACAGAACAACCTATGCACTGAACTATATCTTCCCTGGATGACATCATGGCAATATCACCCTCCTTTGTCCAGTTACGCATGGATTATATTTATGTGGTTTTAAAAATCCACTTTGCAATGCATTTAATCACCTAGGAATGTAAACGAGTTTCATACATCGAAAAAAGAGTACCAAGTTGCAGATTTTTTCCTTAAAAAAAGTCATTGCAGTTACATCGTGTAACAAGGAGACTGTTATCAGCTAGTGTCTTAAATAAATGCCTATGAAATTATTTTGTGTAATATAACCCTTTTAAAAGAGATATCATTGACTGCGTGTGAAGAGAACAACCCCTCTTCTGAGGCGAAAAAGTTTCAAAACTGTTGTTTTTACAACTTTAAAATATTTTCAGAGAACCAAGAGGGCATGTAAATTACTTTTAGTGTTAATAATTACATATCACGAAGATTCATCAGAACGATCAAGACCAAGATCGTCACGAAAATATAGTCAGTCTTTTAAATGGAGAGTCAAAGTCCGTTATGAACCGATCTCTGGTTCTACATTCGGCTGTCATTTTACGTTAATACAAAAAACGAAGAAAATGCCCCCCCCCCAAAAAATGGAGTGTCCTTCACACATAATGTTATGAAAGAGTTCAGACTAGACAGGTTTCCAGACGCGGACCGGGGACTTTCCCCATGTTCAAGCGCATACGTTCACAAATACAGAGGAGAAAGAGGGAAAGGGAGCATGAATGTTGACGACCATTATTTGTGTGTGGACCAGCGAGTGTTTTGGCTAGGTGGTGCACTGTCTAGCATTTAGTCACTGGGTCATAGGAATACAAAGTAACATTTGCTTTTACTACCATTTTTGAAGCATTTACTGATGTTTGTATGAATAATAGTGAAGCAAACGCTTACTTTAGTGCAATTGCTAAAAAGTAAAAAGTATTTACTTTTTACCCTTTAAGCTTGTGCTTGACAATAAGCAGTTGCTTCATTTTCTATGAATAAAAATGAGTAAGTTCTACAGAATTGGAGTATTTACTTGACATTTTTCAAGACTGGGTCAGGGCAAGCTTGAAAACGAGGAGCATTTACTAATGTTCAAAATGGCAGCGTTCATGAATGTCATTCGAAAGGAAAAGCTGTATGCCTTTAGGAGGGAATCTCAAGAAACCAGATGCAGGCAGTTGTACTGATTTGAGAGTGGCAAAGCAATTTTCTTCATCAAGGTTTTTGCGATAAAAATTACTGCCATCGTGCTTTTCTGCCATGCTGAGGTCTCAAGATACAGCACTGTGCTGCACTGTGTGTGTCTGTACGTGCAGACAATGGAAGCCTTATTGTGCAAAACCGTTCGGCTGTGAAGCAGATACTGAACAGTAAAAGAACATTTCATTCATACAAATTCAAGTAATTGCCTATTCTTAATGCTTTACCTCTCAGTGCTGGTTTGCTGTTTGCTTGAACTTCATAGCATTTGCTGGTTTTATTCATACGACCCATTCCGTCTTTACACAGAAATATTTCTTTCAGTAAGGTTAATGGTTTGTTTTCTTAAAATCAATGGCAAAAAGCAATTACTTTAAAATGGTCGAATGGTTAAGCTCGCGGTTATCAGATATTTAGACGGTGTGTTCGAATCCCAGTGGTGGCTTTTTATTTTCCCAACGCTTGCTGTCAGACAGTAGCTATAAGTGACTCTAATTTCAACCCGTCAAATACCAACAGTACCTTAACCGACCGGGTAAGCTCTTCTGCTTGTAGTGTCCGCGAAGTCTGAGTGAGCGCCTTAGTACAGGTTCGAGACGTATGGCCGACTCGGCGGCCAGGGCTTAGGGGCTTGTCTCGTGCCCTCCCTTGCATGGTCGCTCGAACAGGTTAAATGGATGGATAGGGAGGAAATGCAGTGGGCCGAGAACCCGAAACCCGAGAAAAGTCCCATATGGAAACCGGTAACTGGATTCCATGCGAATTTCAGAAGTCCATGCACCTGAATGCTTGGTCAACACCGCATAACTTTTTGATTTTCCTCGCATATTTTGTTTTCATTTCCATGGGTGCAAGGAATTGTCTAGGTTTGGATACAGTGAGTTAAAGGACTGATAATTTATTTTCATTTATAATCTTAATTTACTAATTTTTCGACAACAACAAGACCGATCCCAACCGTGTATGAGTCCATTCGTCCAAGTGATCTCAATATAAATGCTGTGGCGTATCTTGATGGTTCAACAGTAACAGGGGTGGCGCAGTTGGGCGGCATTTGCCTCCTTATTTTATTGATCGAAATACATTTTCATTTGTCTTAATTACAAATTTCGTTTGCTTTGCTTTCAACTGTAGAGTAACTCGATATTTTCACAAAGAAATTCTCACCAAAAATATGTCTCACTTGTATGTTGAATTAATCTTCTTGGGTCACCCCCTCTTAATGCGTTGCAAATGCCGCTCTCTTTTCGTGAATGGTTGATCCATCACTGGCAAGACAGATCTGCACAAAAAAAAAACTCAAGCACGAAAACGATGAGGCAAATTTAAAACAAACAAACAAACAAACAACCCAACAAACAAACCCAACAAACAAACAAACAAACAAACATTCCCTAGCTGTTAGAATTCAACAACAGAAAATGACATCGAGAATCCCATACATGTCAAATCAGTGAAGCTTTTGGCTTTACCCCCATACTTGCCGCAAAAGCTGCATGGGCCTACCCCTTTGTATCATGGCGCATAGTTCATTCAGTTTTTTTCTGACTGAATCTTAATGTCATTTCATACGGTTAACTTGTGCCTCACATAGGCCATAAGTTTAATACTCGAGTTACAAAAATGGCAGGTTAAAGTCATTCATTACTTAGTCAAGTACATCCCTTTTTGAACTCAAATAGATTATTGCAAAAATGTGCCTACCATTTCTCAAACGTTTTTAAAACTCAAACACAAGTACTGACCATTAAATTCCACAATATAAACGGTATGATGCAACTGAATAACACCGTCTTTGGAGTGACCGTAAAACCTCTCAAGAACGTTTGTGAAAACAAAGAAAAAAGTCATTTCACTTACCAAAACCCAAGATTAGTAATTCGGATTTCTAATCATATATGGGGGTTGTCATACACAATCATGAACGAAAGCCATAGAATTGGCAGGTGTCTATTCAAAGCCATGGATTAAACTCTAACTGCATTGACAAAATAGACTTTTTGAAATAATATAAAATTAGGTTTTAAATGAATTGTTTAGTTTTTTTGTCAGGAAACTTGAAAATAATGAAAATAATAATAGTAATAGTACCGCAGATAAAGAGCGCCCTTGGAAGATAGATTTGGCTTATAAAAAGGATGAGATGGCCTTCGATGTGGTTAAGGGATGAACCATAGCGAAATATTGAGGCGTGTGGTTTGCAACTTTCCCACCCAAATCTCAAAACATTGACCAGACCTCCCCCCCCCATTTCCGGTCACTGTTGTATCTCATGGGTCATGGTTTTGGAAGGGTGTGTCCCTTCTGGCCAGGACTGTAGGTAATAGCCCATAAGCGGGCAACCCAGTCTGGGAATATATTTAATGAAAGTTACCTTCCTTCCAAGAGAGAAAAAGGATTTAAAACAACTTTTTTACAGAGTACAAAAACATGAACTTGTCAGGCGGGCATGATTTATGTAGTGTTTAAAAACAGTAGGGTTTCAATTGTAATTTTTTTCTATAGCTCTATGAACTGACAATATGGCAGGCTATTTCTTGTCACTCAAAAGAACTATCTTGATAAGATCTAGATTTCGTTCGGTCGCTTTTTAAAATCTGTTAATTACGTTAATATCAGCGTTTTGCTTTATTTTGGGAGCACAATATCCTTGTTACATTTCTCTGGCTTGATTTTGTTCAGTTCTTCCTACAGTTAGACCATTCACGATGAGCCAATCAGACAAGAAGTTGGTGGTCAAGAGCACCGACATGGAACAGGATCAGCAAGAAGAGGCAGTCCACTTTGCAAGGCAGGCCATGGAGAAGTTCAACGTGGAGAAGGACATCGCGGCCTACGTCAAGAGGGAGTTCGACAAAATCTACAACCCGACCTGGCACTGCATCGTGGGCAGGCATTTCGGCAGTTACGTCACCCACGAGACCAAACAGTTTATCTATTTCTATCTAGGCCAGATGGCATTTCTTCTCTTCAAATCTGGTTGATTTTAGCACCGAGCAAAGACTCTGGCAATAGAAACCGTGGAGCAGACGTAGAACACTAAAACGACTTCACAGCCTCATCGCCGGCAGTGCACCTTTCTGAAGAATTTAGTTAGATGTCAACGTGCAGCAAAAACGTTGCCTCTGAAATCTGAAATGTGCGCCAATTCGCATGTTATTATTTTTATGAATTATTTTTTAAAGTGGTGGAAATTTTGTTGGGAATTCTGAACGAAAATTACAACGTTAGGAGTTCGTTCTTGCTTATTCGGTGTCTATAGTCACTCCTTGAACATCTCTGGGAGCTCCTATCCTAGTGTTCTTGAATCAAAAGGCTCAAGCCAAATAGCTGTTTCGGTCAAAGTCTTCAAGTTGGCTTATTAATTTGGGCTGTGCTTTTGCCTTTGATATACGACGATATACAAGCCAAGCATTGGTATATTAGAATGAAAACCTGCTCATCTTCGAGCACTGCATAGAAAACAATTTTGAATCATCCACATAATTTATTAATTAACAGCACTTATAATGTGGAATACCTTACCTGGATCCAGGGTTAATGGTCTTCCAAGGTCAAACCGAAGAAATGGCATATAGTCATGACTTAGATTTGTGAAAGGAGGCTTGATATACCAAAATTTGTTATGTAAATAGAGGATTACGAAAGTTCAGCAAGTGGAAGAGGAAGAAAAGATTTGGTTTCTGAATACTTGAACAAACTGCCTGCACATGATGATTGAGGCGCATGCATACCTCATCGAAGTCATTTTCACACAGAAATTTGCTAGGGCAGAGAGAAACAAACGGTTTTGGAACGAGAGTTCTCCAACCATGGTCGAACAACCGATCGACGTCGCTGCAACCCCCTTTCCGCCAAAACAACTGCATTGAAAAAATTACAGGCTAGCAAATAAGGCGGGGAATGAGAGGCCTGAGTAGGCCTACTTCTGCAGTTCACGCAACTTTATATTATTCTAATAATTTAATATCTGTAGTGTCAGTTCGACATTTGGCGAATTGTGAGACATTTATTGTATTTCTTCGACGAGAATTTGGCGAGGTGTCTGAAAATAAATCCCCCTGACGGATATGTAACAGTGAGTGGAAAGCACTGTGTCTGAGCACCAGCGTTAAAAAACACATGGAAGGTATGGAATAAACTGTTACTTAGTGTAAACTTTAATTTATACGTAGGTATGAAAAGTGAACAAAACGAAATGAGATAATTTATGAGGACATAAATTAATAGAACAATGAAACTGACTGCACGAAGCTGGATATGAATCTGCACCCTTAGGAACATAACCGCTATCTACCATCTGAGCTACCCAGCCCTGTGTTGCAAGGGGATCTTCCAGTTTGTAAATACAAACATATTGTTTGGCGGATGACAGGGCAGGCCAGAAGGGAATTTCCTTTAAAAGAAAGTAATCAAATGTTTTGTTTAGCCAAAATAAAGAAGAAACGAAAGACTCGGAGGGATAATTAGATCACCGTGTTATAGGAAGTACAAAGTTAAAATGGGCTTTTTTTCTTTCCCAATTTTTCTCATTCGTAGAAAAATCCTCCCATCCTACAAAGGAAGCTGCCAGAATCATTTCTATAAGTTCTCGCCCATTCAACTCGTTGAGAAAAATGACAATTAACAATTGCAAACATGTCCCTGGGGAAAATCCCCCTCGCAGGATATTCCAGACATGTATATCCCATGCCTCATACCTCAACCTACACTGAAATTTACTGAGAAGGGGCCACCCCATGTTAAAATCTTGTGCTAATTACGCTATGTGCCATGAAACATTCGACCCACTTATCCTCGGCAAGTTGACACGTGTTTTGCATTTACATGTCGGTTTTCTCACGGCTTTAATATGCAATATAATATTGCCCTCAAAACGATGGTGAGAGTGGTACTCGGTTGATACGGTGCTGATTTCTGGTAATACTATATGGAGCACAATATAAGGAGGGATAGAGTGAGTGGCAAACAGACAGATGTGTCAGGGGATTGATGACAGATAGCTTGTCAAGAGTTAGATTATGATTTAATGACGTGCAAAAGCACGACGGAAGGTTTTCTATTAGAAGAGAATCCACCAGGGATTGTTTTGCATTAAGACGGTTCCTAATAAATTACGACGAAGCCATTAAGCAGGCTTGCTCGGGATCGATGGCTTCATGCTCTGCCAGGTTCTTTCTCTCGGAGGCAATGCATATATCAAGAGGCACTCTCGAGGTAGCAGGATAAAATAGAAAACATGGAGCTCGCTCACTGTTCGGTTAAACTACTTCTCTTCTGCCTGGTGACTTGGAGAGATTGGGGAAGTGCCAGACATGTTGCTTCACCATCAGGTCAGTTCTTCATTAGATCAAAATCGGGGAGAAAATTTTTGTTGATTTTAAAACACTGAATCTTATTCGTAACCACTGAGCGCTGTACAGACACAAAATAACTACTTTTGTCAAATGCGGTTACAAATTATGGACAACGGTGTGAAGGACGCCCTCCAAGATACCCCTGGAGGGAAAAAAATTCAAATTCAAAATTCTCCTACCAAATTATCTTTAAACAGTTTCCGTTCAAAGCAAAATCTACCGGTTGACCGGGCCGATAATGCGCTAGCATTATGTGCCCTATATAGGACTGATGAATTGTGCGCTATTTTCATGAAAGCATGCTGCCTTACATGCTGCTTATATATTCATGGGAAAGAAATGTTTGATTCGTAAAACTATTTTAAACTTATCCCTTAAGAGCGTGGCATCCGTGTTTTTTTAAATGAGGACGTCACTGTCCGCGCCCATCGTGCCGTTTTGTGACCATTCTTTTTTCATCGAAGCATCAACGTGCTTACATGTAGTGAGGTTCGAACGATTCACACGTGGAGCAATCGCGACTTCACCCTTTCATTGACATGACAGCCATTAAAAAAGAATCGATACTCTTTGTGCCTTTCATTAAAGACAATATGCACACATTCATTGATGAGGAAAATTCTGGTGTTTCAAAAACTAACCGAGATTGTATGTGTGAAGAACATTAAAAGTTTTATCACTGCTTTCATCAAGAAATTTTCATAAGTTTCGCTGTTTGCTGCGTGCTCAAGAGAATTTTCCCTCGGGTTGCACGCAGCATATAAATTCCCACAGACAGCAGTGATAAATCCCCATACTTCACAAATATATATATAAAAAACACAACTCTCACAGGTGTTCAGGATGCACAGAAAAACGATGCTCAACTTGTCCTATTTCATTTTCCTTTCAATTTTTAGTGGGTTGACCAATGAATTTTTGAGAAATTCTCACCCAAAGCAGACTACCCGTAAAATGAGGGAAAATTCACTGCCCGGAAAATAGCCATTTTGAAAATGCATCCCTCTGCAAAACGGCTAAAATAGTTCCACTTTCAGACCCGATTGCATCCAAATTGCTCAGAATTGGAAGCCCTGAGTCCGGGCCAGAGGTTCATATTCTGAGACTGATATTCTGGCTTGACGGAAACTTGATGGTGACTTGTCTCACTCAAGGAAAGGAAAAAGCTCTCATTTAATCGGCGCTTTCATGTCCACGGCGAGGGTGATCGTACAACTTTCCATGCATACGTGAACATAATTATGTGCCCTACCCAGGTACTTCCAGGGGTCTTCTATTTTATTGTACTCAATATCCTCAGTTAAGTCGCTACATCCTTGATTCAATATTTTCTGATATCGGATGTGATTGGAAATAAAGTAACATAGATGGAAAGAATTAGCAGACGAGTTTCCAGCCTTCTTCCTTCCTACGGAGACCGACCCCGCTCCAGTCAGTTCCTGGGTAGGCCACCATAATCCCCAACATTCTAAACGATTCCGTTTCGGTTAAGTTAACAGAAACGTTATCAGAATAATACAACGTAGCCAGTTTTCCTCTCTTTATTTGAATGTTTTTTATTTTCAATTTTTTGGTACAGGTGCCATTAATGTCATGCTGTTTGGTATCGACGTTAGGATCACACCGGAAGCCTCATGCTGCGGAAGATGTAACGAGGATACACCATTTCGCCAAGTTTATGTTACTTGTTACTGTGACAAGTTCTGCTTGACATACCAGGACTGTTGCCTGGACTATGAATTGTACTGTACTAACCTGGAGGAGAGACTGATCAAAGATCGAGACCACGAGCTGTTGGAAGCTTTTCAGAATTGTTCCAAAAGTATGGAGACTTTAGCAACACCAGGGATAGCACCATCCAACAGCAGTGCCAATGACCGTGACCTCTGTCTAATTTGGTATCCTGAACGTGCACAGAGTCTCGTCGACGAGTTTGCGTGCAAGATGGAGGCACTGTGGGTTCCTGTCATTCTGGCGCGAAAACCAAATCGAACGTTGGTGCGTGCACTGGTTCAATCTTTTTCTGATCACGTGTTATTAGTCCAAGACTGTGTCCAAAATGCAAACACGGTTGACACAATTGACCTGTGTATGAGCACAGCCTTCGATGGCTTTGAAAGCCTAATGGATGTCGAAAAGGTTGTTCCGGTTACCGCTCATGATGGCTTGCATTATCGTAATCTCTACTGCGCTCGGTGTAACGGCATAGAGGACAAAGATGTACAATTCTGGCAAATCAAACTCACTTGTCCTTCACAGGTGAGACACGTTGGTCTGACAGACAGTTCTGTGAGTAGATGTTGGTTTGAGTCGGTCATTGTACCATCATTGTTTAGATGGAGAACCGCTCAGCCACGTATCATCCCTGCCAACCTGGTTTCTCGTGCTTGCGGCAGCAGTGTCCAGTCCAAAGGTGAATTCGAAGATGCTTGTCGGGCGTACCAACTGAAAACACCTTGCGCCAAAAATCCACACTGCGAAAGCGGCTGCGAATGTTCTGGGCTTCCTTGTCTTACACCCCCAGAAATCCAATCTTCAGACCGGCCGATTTTTCTTCCCATAAGCGCTGTCTTCCACTTTACCTTACATGGAGGCATGCGTTACTCTCTGGAAGGTGACCCTGCGGTTAAAGTGTGCGATGACGAGTACGAGTTCTTCGATTCTGCCTTGGGAGCTTGCAGACCATTCCTGTGTCCCTCTGGTCAATCTCCAGGACCACGTGGTTCATGTGTTGTTGTTGATTCGATGAGAAATCCCTGTTTGCAATCTGACTTGGATGAGCCTCAGTTGATATCGGTTCAGATGGACTTTCGCGTTAAATCTGTTGGTTCGGCAAAAGTGTACATGATGAGCTTGAGCAGGCGTCTGTTGAATATATCTTTAGAAGAGTTTGATCAGTTTGACTGTAATGCACCATTGTCGACGGTGGATGCGATACCTGTAGCGTTGACAACTTGTCGACTATCCTTCGTAACTTTTTCTACCCTTAGCTTTGAAGAAACACTCTTGGGATTTTTGACCCAAATGAGAACAGATCCTGCAGGAATTGGAAAGACCTTTCGTAGAACGGGGTTTCGCTTTGACAAACTTTCTTTAAAGAATTACGCCTCACACAGATTCCTAGTTGAAAAATGCGGTCGTTTTGGAGGGATGCCAGTCGCTTACTCTCGCGGAGTGGACTACAGGAGGTTTGAAGTAAATGGGTCTGCATTTGTTGATGTCACGGTAGGCAATGAAACATTATTATGCCCAGGCCACCGACTTTATCAAAAGGTAGTTTTCCGCCCGAGCAAGTTTGTAGGACACTCGCAGGAATTTATGTTTTTGTGTCAAACTAAACTCAGCTGCCCTTTGGTGATATTCAATTCCAGTGAGTATAGTTGGTTGGACAATACGACAATAAGCATAGGCTCAGGCCGAAATATTTCAAGCGATGAGGTAATTCAGTTAAGTAACAAAAATGTCGTGCTGTGCCGTCCTAGGGATTGTTCCAACTGCACTCAACCATCCATTCTAGGAGACGCAGTGCTTTCCATGATTTGCATCTCTGTCTCTCAGCTGTTCCTGCTTCTCTGTCTACTCAGCTTCTGTTTTCTCCCGGAGCTCTGGACCCTACCAGGGAAGAACCTCTTCTGTTCCATTTTGGCCCTGTTTCTGACTCAGACTGTCTTTCTGATTGGTCCGGGTTCACCACTGAGTCAGTTCACTGTAGCCAGTGATAAAGATGTATGTCTTGCTTTTGCTGTCTTGATACATTACTTCCTGCTCGCCACTTTCTTTTGGATAAACGTGGTTTCGCTGCACTTTGCCCGTACATTTGGTTTCAAGCTCCGGATGCGCAGTGTACGGTTTCGTCGAGCTTTTCGGTGGTATTCACTTTATGGATGGGGCACACCTGGTGTGATAGCAGGGGTTTGGCTGGTGGTACATAAACTGATCCTAGAAGGTGGCCATGGGCTGGTGATCTACCAACACTGCTTGCCTTTTGGTGTCGGTGCTGTGTTGTTGGTGGCCGCACCTATGTCTCTCTTGTTGGTGTTGAATGCGGCCCTCTTTGTATTGACAGTGGTTGGTATCCGGCGCACTAAGCAGTCAACCAGCGTGGTCATGCAGGAACAGAGAACGCTCGAACACCTCCAGTCGGAAGTTACCCTTTGCACCAAGGTTATTGCTAAGTTAATGATTAACAATTAATGAGAGTAGGCCTATATAAGCTGTTGCTTGCAGCCGTTGAACCAGCAGTACATAATGAAAAAATAAATGGCCAACACTCCAGTGACAAAACAAATATTGAATCTGATTAATGCGCTCTCTGTTAATATTTCAATTTCACTTTTTAAACTTTCTTTCCTCGTCTGGCCGATATATAAAGTCACTGGTGACAATTTTAGCACAAGTGAGAAAATACTCTATTGTGTGGAGTTACGAGTATATTTTTACCCTTTTTCCAGAAAATAAGTTCCTTCGGGTGCTTCCCTGCAAACTGATGGAACTCTGGTTGGGCCTTCAGGAAAATCCATAGGGAAAACCTAGGCCGTAAACGAAGAATGTACCTCTTTTTTAGTTATATGCCACACACCCATGATAGTGATGTACTTTGTCAAAATTAAATCAACACCTTCAAACAAAGATGCTTGCTGTTAACGAGAGCTTATGCCTTGAACTGTTTTTCCAGAAAATTTTGCTCTTCTAGCTTAATTAAAGAAGGATACCTGCCGATGATATGTGATCACTGTCTCTCAATAACCCTGTCTTCACTTAGATCTTCGTAGCGACCGGGATGTCGTGGATTCTCATCTTCATCTTGGGATACGTCGACGTGGAAGGTTTCTCCTACTTCTTCACTGTCTTGATCGCCATCCAAGGACCCCTCCTTTTCTTCTCATTCGCCTTCACGGAAAGAGTCCGCGCCATGTGGCGGGTCCGGATCACTCGTCTGTTGCAGGCACAAACTGATACATTGGAGGAAGCCAGTGACACTCGAAAAAGCGCCCTGCAGGGTTCTCGGGTAGCTGACACTGAAATGGATTTGCTATATCAAAGTAAGCCATCCGAAAGTGAAGAACGTGCATGAAAATGCAGTCATCGTGTTAGACAGGGAACTGTGATTCGCTGTGTTGAAAGCACTCATCATCAACATAACTCAACTCTTTTAACAAGGGGCGTTGACCAGCGGCGCATCCAGTATTTGGTGTTGGGGAGGCAAATTGAAAAACGAATGCGGCTTCGGGCTTATCAACATGATGTTGGGAAGAATATCCGACGCCTTACTCACGTTCCCGGCATTGTAAGTTTTATTTTGTGGTGTTTGTTTTCTAAGAGTTTTGGTGCTAATAGTTTGATAAATAAATATACCAATAGTACTACAAAAGGGAAAGACTGGAGCTAAAATCCATCAGGGGGTAAATTGAATTACTCCCCCACTGGATACGCCACTGGCGTTGACGGGAAGCATTTTGGGGGAGGCAAAGCGCTGAATCAGTAGCGAACGACTTACTCACCATTGAGCTTTGCACAATATCAAAAGAGATCGTGGAAATATAACATCTGAACATCCAAAACGTTATCTGAACATGAAAAGACTATTTCATTGACAGAAAATTGAAAGCAGGCGCCCTTACTTTGGATTATCATGGCAACCACTATTTGCTGTAGTAGAACTGCTTATATTTTTAACAGCTCAGAACAAGGCCTGCGTTTAAAAGGGATAATTCACCGTGGAAGACAATCTTCCAAAAGGGTACAGCTTGCAGTGCAGCTTGGTTTCATATTCAGTGTTTAGTTGGAGCAGGAAGAATAGAAATAATAAAACAGACTTTCATCAAGCAGTAAAGTAATTAATAATAATACACTTTACAGTATGTTTAAAGAGAGAAAGAAATGAATCTCGAGCAGTTTTAAAGTACGTTTTGAATTCTTCAAAATTCTGCAAGGCTTTGCATTTTTATGTAAAATAATATGAAATTTATTTGTTTGGCATTATACTCTGGCACTTCTTTGATTTAAAGCTTTTGTCTTTATTATGTATGATGTTTACAATCGTATAGATTTGCCAAAAATTACAAATCTTTCGATTTTTCTTGCACTTCATTGGGATCTATTTCTGAGGTTATACCGTTATTGTTGTAAAGATGTTTATACTTTTTGGAGCTTTAACAGATCTTGGTGTCGTTTTTAAGGAAACCTCAGCTTGGACGAAAAGCTATTGCTGCTGGGTCTGAGGAGAATCAAATTTATATTTCCAAAAATATAAAATGCATTTATATGTTTGTCGTGACTGGGCAGGTGGACTATGCGGCATTTACTATCTGTCTCTTTCGCAAACCATAATTCATTGTGTCCCCTTCCTGTTCTGGGAAGCATGATCGAGCAAGATCGAGATCTTCTTGTTTTAGCGCCAGTTGCAAAATGTGGCTTCGGCATCTTTCATCCATTGTTTGACGGGTGGATTTATACGCGTTTCTGTGGTCAGACACGCCGATGACTTTTTCACGGGAAGTTGAGATCTCTATTTAAAACAGGTGGAATTGACAAGATACAATGGAAGTAGGCCTAACAAGATACGATATCCTATCAGTCCACGGGTCATCGTCTCGTAGGTCAGGGACTCTCGAATAGTCAAAGAATGGGATACAGTTATTGGTTATGGGCATTGGCTGCACGATATATGTTATAGCATAAGAAAGTGAGTGCTGTGAAAGTCGAAGCAGAGAACTGTTACATTTTGGTCTTTTGGCAAACGGCAGACTGCTAGAAGACATGGGAAATTGCGTCAGGAGGGAACATTACCGTCTGGTAGTGGTAAATCTGTGTTTTTACCTTCTAACCTCAGAATAAATTAAAACCATCAATAGTTTTTGATGACCATAATTTGGCTTGAAGGATAAGGGAGGAGGTCCGGCATATGGAAACTCCGAACTCCATTCTCCATTTTGGTGATTTTGATGAAGTGCCCCCAAAAATATTATAATTGCCAATGATTGGAGTACGTGCACTTACGGTGAACACCCCTAGTGGGGACATTTCCTCAAGATTAGATTACCCAAAATGACTTATTCGGGAACTAAACTTTAATTTGCTGTGTGAGCAGTGCATTTTTTCTGATTTTTTTTAAGTGAGGATACATTGTATTTATCATTATTGCCTGTGAGGGTTTTTAGGCATTCTGGTCTGCTTGCGTGGGGCACATCACTTTCTATGTGAGGGTGTTCAGTCACGATTTCTTTTTGGGGGGGGTCGGACTTCTACAAAAGCCTTTTTGGTGGCCACAAGGTGTGAATTGCGTTTGCGATGTCTTACCCGGGAAACTCTAAATCCCGCAAAATGCAGCAGGAGATTATCCGGCGATGTGGTCCGACCCACGTATGTTTCCTTCCTCAACTTAATTTTGCTTATTGTTCAGGGTCGTACGCTGAATGCCAGCGAGCTTTTGTGATGGAAACTAAACAGTTGATGGATTATTTTGTGAGTCAATGATCTTATGTGATCAAATAAGGAGTAACCTCTTTCGAACAGTGAAAATTCGTTTATTTCCCCTCTTCGTGCAAAACAAATCATAATATTCTTGCAATCGGGGTTTTCACAAGAATGTGAAACACATAAATTTGAAGCCAGCGTTGAACTAAAAGCCATCCTGATAGTCATTAGCTTGCAATTTTTTTTTAAGTAAGATTCACGAACTTAAAAATCAGGTTCGCTGTGATTTTTTTCTGTCACGGCAGTGCATTACTTAACCGAAAGTCTAGTTGATATTCGAATAGTGTAGAATTTAGTAGGGTTTAATGGTTTCGATAAAAATCAGTTTATAATATGTCAAGGTACGATACTCGCATGTTGCATGAGATGACTCAATATCTCTTTGAAAAAAATTGCACTTTTGGCTTTATCATGTGTGTCATTACAAACGTCCATAGCATATGTATGTGGGGTACTTCTTCAGGAAAACCCCAACAAGAAATATTTACAAAGGTTTATATTGTACTCTGTGTTGGCAACACGCGGTGCGGCTCTCCATGTGAGACTACGGCAAGTATCGAACACTGGCTACGGCTCTCCACCGCTGCCTCTTTTGATCAAACTTTGAAGCCGTATCGCAGGAGGCAAGACCAGATTATGGCTACCCCTGTCATGCACCGCCCTGTACAATCTCATGTATTAACTAAATTGATACACCGGCCGTGCTGGGTGAACATAGGTGGACCAACTTAGGTCTCAATAATGTAAGACTACTTGCGTTGGGGCTCTTGCCATCTGAGTGTGTTCAAATAGCATTTTCATCCTGTGCTGTGGTGGTCCTGAAAACAGCACTCAGATTTTGAAACTCGAAATAAATTAGCGTCCAATAGCCGTTTAACACAACCTGCTATCGGTCGATAGCAGGTATGAATTTTCATACGCAGCATTAACCCAACTTTGGATACCAGTTGAATCACTTAACTGTTGAGTAGATTGCCGAACTGCGTCGATTCTCTCCAGTATCAGTGTATGGCGTATTACACTACCTCATACATATTAAACACGGATCACAGGGCTCTCATTGGTGCATTAACGGTCAAGTGCCAGCCGCTATTTTGCTAATAATACGCATGCGTTTTAATTGTTGCCCACTTACCGGGGCGACAGTTAAAAACGCATGCACAGTAGCAGAAAATCCAGGAACTGTCGCCCGGGAGTGGCGCAATTTTTTTCCTAGGAGGGTTAGTAATTATAATAACAAGACCCGTACGCATGTGTGTTACTCGGAGAGATCAGTATTCGTGATATGGACGTCGTTTGAGCTACCAGTGTAGAGTGGCAGCTTTTTACCGCGCTAATTTAAACAAATATATGTGAACAAAACACTGACTTATATATGGAAGACTAGCACTGCTTTGGTCTTTGATGTTTTTGTCGAAAATTTTCAATAATTTCAGTGGGCCGCATTCGATTAGTGCCCAAGGGTTACGGTGATGATTAGTAGGAACAAACTCTTGCAGACGGTGTTCGTGTCCCATGTAATCACCACTAGAAAGCATGAATTATTGGCTCAATATTTAACGGTTCTTAGCTGACCTGAATAGGTTATTTGCATTGTTCAAGTGAAGGTGACACCGCGGTCGGTTCGAACCAGTGACTCGGGGTTTAAACAATAAGCAACATACTGCGTGTCCCAAAACCTGTCATTCAAACTTAAAATCCCAACAACTTTCCGCAGTAACTTGTCATTGGCAGAAAGGAATTCAAAGCTATAAGCTTCTTGAGAATAGGCTGTTAGAAGGTTGCTGCAATGCAGTGTGCTAAACAGAAAGTAGGAACTGTTTGAAAAGAACTGAGTAATATGTACGGTAAAAAAAATCCCCTAGGCCTCCATACATTTCAGTCGGGTACTCTAATCAGATGGCGTCATTCGTGTGTATCTTTACACGAAGGCTATGTTTGAATCAGTTGGCTGCGGCTTGATATCATGCATGATTCTATGGGAACTAGCCATGGATGCTGCCAAATTACTCGGTGTAATTTCAGGTCGTCCGGTCCCACGTACGTCTGTGAACCAGACAAACGAAGTGGTCCTGCGTAAGGGTGCACCCTCGTATTTAGGCCAGAAATGTGTCCGCCGAGCTCATTAATAAAAGTTATAAACTCAAAATATTCTATATTAGAGGGTCCTGAGAGCCATGGAACTGAGGAATTGAAGAAATATGAGACAGAACCTCTGGGCCGGACTCAAGGCTTCCAATTCTGAGCAATTTGGATGCAATCGGGTTTGAAAGTGGCACTATTCGAGCCATTTTGCCGAGGGATGGTTTTTCAAAATGGCTACTTTTCTGGACAGGGACATTTTCTGCATTTTAGGGGTGGTCTGCTTCTGGGGAAAATTTCTCAAAAATTCATTGTCAACCCCCCGAAAATTGNATATTTGTGAAGTATGGGGATTTATCACTGCTGTCTATGGAAATTTATTTTTAGTGGTGCACTCGTAAGTATACAAATTGAAAACGCTTTTTAGCAACAAAGCGTGAGGGGCAGTCAATTTCAGTTTAAGCGAAGCAGTGGCGGCAAGTCCATATGGTGAGAGATAATGGGGCGGAGAGTAACCCCCACCTTTGTGCTGGTCATTGTTTGATCGGAATCTCAGGAATTCTTTACAGACATGGGGGGGGAGTGCGTGTCAGTTAACAATAGTCTAAAGTGTGTATAGGGATTGGACGTGTGTGGGGGGGTTCCCATCGACCCCATATCGCACACGGTATCGGTATGTACGCATGCAGTGGCGATGGACATGCATGATCGCGTTATGACAGCCTTGCATTTAGCATTCAACTCATGCATCATTAATCGTCACTTGCAAAGAACAAAGGTAGATTAGAGTGAAAGGAAATTTTGTTTTCCGAGCTGAATTTTTCCCCCATATGTTAAATGCAGCTAATTTCTCACAAACTAAAACAAAACAATGCGCACAGTACAGTGTACATGTATACCATTTTCCTCAAAAGAATTCTATTTTGAATTTGACTCTGGAGATGAACTGTTTTTTTAAAAGCTATTTGACGTGCAACTCGTTTCCTCAAAGCAAAAGCAGAAAACAATGTGCAAAGAATGTCATATACTGCTACCTCATGAGAATTCACTTAAACCGGAAACGGGAGCTTAACATTTAGTTCTCACATATTGATATGATTTTTCAATTTTTGAGCGAGATAAAAGCATTGCCTCTCGTCACATTTTATTGTCTTTTTATTAATTCAAAGTTGTTAATTCACACTTCTCACAGTAACAAGGCCATATGCTCTAAAGCATACGAGCATGTACATCACTTCCAAGAAAAAAAGGGGAAAAAACTGCGTCACCGCACTACTTTTGGACCAAGCCGGTGGCCAGAAACCGGGGTCTTTTTAGCCTTGTAAGCAATTGTTCACCGTTGGTTAGCACTAATGAATCTTCTTCAGTTGAAGTCACTGTTGATATGGACATGTCGGCGAGTTGCCTGTTGCTTTAAATTTAATTGGCCTGTATAATGAAGTAGGCGGTCGCTCTTGTCACGTTCATACGCATTTAGATAAGGAAAATGACAAAACACACAGGATATTGCATGCAACCTGAAGCTTTTATTACTTGAGAAAAAAGAACTAAAACCTAAACCTGAAAAAATGTTGAAGTATACCAACTGTTCACTGTTGGAAAATTGGAGTACCACCTATTTTAATCTATTTCAACAGCCTTAAACTCCAAACTAAGTGAAAGGAAAAAAAAAGCCCAACTCATTCACCGCCAAAAACCAAACCAAACAAAACCGCAGGTATCTCCCCCATAACGTTTTTACCGTTGTCGGGAATATATCAACGACTGTACTCCGCCTCCCGAAAACAATGCTTACCTCAAATTGACTGTGCCTGTCGTCAAATATTTCCTAAAAGTCTGTTCTCATCAAATCCACCCTTCACATGTACCCGTCCCATTTCTATCTAGCTCAACAGAGGAAAACAGAAATTGAGAAATCAAAAAGATTTGAATGTTATTTGAAGATTCATTATCTAGCAAGGATGTAGTCGAGTACTACATCACTGCTAGATTAACTAGTTAGGAGGGAACAAAGCTGAAGTACATGTACATTTGATGGTACAGGAAAGATTACAAAGTAACATAATGACTTCAGACCATCACTGTTTGATAAAAATTAATCTTTTAGGACAAAAGTACTCGGAAAGTTCTGGGCCGAGTACTTTTCTCCTTAAAACTTAAATTTTACACAACTGGGAGTGTCTGAAGTCTAACATTTATTTTATAATCTTATTTTTGCACATTAACCATCAAATGCCTGAGCACTCTGGCTTTATTCCCCCTTACACAGTTTAGTATTTTGCGGAGAACGTTAGAACTCGGAAAGTACTCAACTACAACACTGTTATCAGGTCCATAATTGTGTTATAGGACCGTTTCAATAAGGAATACACTAGCAGTCTGGGCTTGACAGCACTTCCACTGACACCTCACAGAGTTGCAGTGTAGCGGTTCCTGGGATGTCGACGCTCACGTAGCGCGCCCTCAACGGTCGATCACATTTAATCTCGATGGTCCCGCCCAACGGCTGGGCTTGACGAGCAGTGATCGGCGCCCCGCATGCCTGGTTCGCGGCGACAGTCTTGTATGTCCCAGCGCGAACAATGGCATTTTGCAGACGTTCACCTGTAGACAAAATAAACACCAATCACGCTTGGCAATGGAAAACAGAGTAGGCCTAATCCATTTTTTAAAATGAATTGAGCGCCAATAATTTGCCTGAATACATCTCATCAATTAAACTTTTTCAGTATCGAGTTGTTTGCTAAATAGGAGATATAAACAGTTAGTATATATAGAGTTCTTGTCGTTCCAGGACGTGGTTTCACCAGCAAGGTCTCACTTTAACATTATCAAACAGAAGCACAAAAGCCACGGTGATTTATCCTAGCGCATGGAAAAGAAGCTACATTAGTCACCTTCTTAAATTCAAAGTATTTGACGGACTTACTGCAACAGTCACCACGGTTCAGGATGGTTACCTTGGTAACGCACTGCTCTCCACCAAGATCAACTTTCCACCAAGGATGGTTCGAGTTGGTCACTAATGAAAAGAAAACGCAGTTGATATTGTCATCCCTCTTAAGGGAAAATGTCCTTATACATGTAAGTAGAATAGTGCCATGCATAGTTGGGATTGGTATGTTTGCAGGCGATGCATGTGTTAGCAGAAGGCCTTCAGTACTAAATGGTGTATTTTGTGTCGAGCTTTAAAGAAGTCACTTCCAATTATTCTTGGATACACGCAACTTGAATGTAATATTGGGAAGACAGTTTAAATTTCCTTTCTTTTGTATTTCGAGTTTCATTGGCATATAGGGGTGGTTTTGATGGGACCCCTTTATTTCTTCACAACATAAAACTGAGTACAACCTGTACCGTACTCTTATTACATAGTTTAAAGGGAGTCTACGGGCTGGTTGAACCAAGCATTTAACAATTTGTCCAGTGGTGATCCATTTTAAGTTTCCATTACAAATGTCTTACAAATCCAGAGGAGATATAGTCTTACCAGTGCTCGAGCAGTGCCTGTCGGGGTACATGATTGCGGATGAACTCCCGTCCACTGCAAAGCTTGCGGCATAACCTGCTGCGTGCGTTGTGCTCTGCTCTGCTGGTTTGCCAAAGACGCTGAACGGCTGGGAATCTGCCAACAAATTCAATACGAAATTGACTGTTGAGTAATGCTTTACAGGTCCCACTGCCTGATATTTTACGACTTAAAATTACTCGATACGGAACCCGAAAGGAGCCTTTTCAACCATAACTTACCGGGACAGTGACCCAGGGGAACCTCTTCCAATGCAACCTCACAAAGATGCAGGGTGGCTGACCCAGGGATATCAACGCTGACGTAGCGTCCTTTCAAGGTGGGATAGCAGATAAACTCGATGGTATCGCCCCATGGCGCAGCTTGTGCAGCGGTTACCGGCGAGCCACAGGCCCAGTTCTCTGTGGCGGCGACATTGGGACCAACGCGGACAACAGCGTCCTTTAAGCGCTTGCCTACCAATAGAAATACGAACAGGAATGAGCCCCTAAATTGGACCAAGAGAGGGCACAATCTTCCTTACAACGGAGGCCCCTTTGGTCGGAAGTGCGTTTCGCTGGTTCACGAATGACTAATGCACACGTTACGGTGGCATCGCTACCAGCAAAATGAACTCTCTCGCCCATTTCATTTTAGCTCTTTTCAACCGACGAGGGGGTGCTTCTGCTCAAGCCGGATATTATAATTGCCTGTTGGTTGTTGAAGTTGTGCCTTCGGTTTAATTTGCTATCACTGTTGTTTTTCTGACTACAATAGATGAAATGGTGATAAGGATGTAGCCAACAGTACAGTAGTGGTAGTTGTTACATGTATTGCAAAGATTGGTATAAATTGTGTTTGGGGCATTTCGTTGAGAGTATTTCTGTTGTTACTGCGGGTATAGTGCTTTTTGTGGTCATTGTTCTTACTGTATTTTGCGTCTTGCATCTCCAAAGCCAAGAAGTTTCCTGAAATTCCGAAGCTCCCATATACTGAAACAGATTTCTCGGCGATACTGGCACCATTTTTACAATGGTAAACTTCACCAAATGTTCATTTTCCTGACCCATTGACAGCGTAAAACTTTCACTGCAGTGATTCTAATTATTAATCAGACTATTTAGGTTTCTGACTTACTGCAGCAGTCACCACGGTTCAGAATGCGGACTTTGCTGATACAGTGGTTGCTCCCGAGGTCAACCATCCACCACGGATCCCTGGCGGCAGCAACTACAGGTGGGCAAACAAGCAAAACAGATAAGCGCACAACTAATAAGAAACTCATCGTAGACTTTGCTGCTCATGTGAAGGGTTTTGCCCAGTTCCAAATGGACACTTACCTGATATATCGCAAGATAAGGGCGCCAGAGCCCAATTGGCAATACTCCACCTGGTCGACAGCGGCAGCAGAAATGCTCACAAGTCACCAGGAGTCGTGTTTCAGTGATCAACCACAATATTTCCTCGTGTGGTGTACTGAAAAAATGTCTACTTCTTGACATAGACTATGCACATAGCAAAGTGAATTTGTGTTCAGGATATCGTTAGAAGACCGCACAGCAAACACTGGGGTTGACTGGCGATCAAATGGTACCTCCAGAGGATTATTCAAAACTGCAGTGGTACATGAAACGGAGAGAGATTGGATTTAATGCGAATTGAGGCTAAACCCCAAAAGACAAAAGTGTTACCTACTGGTATGCGAGCAGTGCTCCGAGGAATACAAATTGGAGGACGAGCTGCCGTCAACTGCTTTGTCTGACGAGTATGGGCTCAATGTTGAACTCTGCCAGGTGATCTTGCCTACAATCGGGAGGTTTGAGGAGTCTGGAGAAAATGAAACACAATTTCAAACAGTGGTGCAAACAAAACGAATACATATGTACATGGTAACTAACAACCAGTCAGCTTTGGTGCAGCTGTGGCCTGTAAATACAGCAAAAGGTGTTCAAGATCAACAAAAGAGACAGGGGTGGTTATTTTTTCCTTTTTGATAAATCACCGATGCCTTTTAGCATCTTACATTCCGTTTCAGATCTGGACAATACAAATAAAGAGAATAATTGAGACTTGGTGGAGCGTAAACGCCATCATTTCCATGTCCAAAGGTTTTATTCTAATCACATGAACAACCATTATTTACCAATCTTGTCAGATTGTACGCATCCATAGATATCCCTTTTTAATTTCAAATGACGGACGAATACCTTTCCATAGTTAAATATGAAAACCAATTACAGCTAAAAAGAGCTCATCAGAAGAGCACACCGTTTCATAATATGATTTCCCTTTTTATCATTATCATTGGAATACGTTGATCAACATACCTATCGATTTCTTGGTTTCTTCAACTTCCTCCTTTAGAACACGCTTCAGCAGCTGGCCCAATTCATCCTGAAAATTCGTTTAAAGAAAAGACATGCATTATAGAGCTGTTCATTGCGCTGATATTAATACAGAATTATACGTTAATATGTAGTACACTGTGGACTCGACTATGCGTAACATGATTTTTTTCCCGGGGTGAGGGCGGAGTCAGGCTCATCAGTGGCAAACTGGCCTAGTGAAGGGGCTCAATTCCGAGGGTTTTTTTTTTGCGAAGTTGTGATTCTCAACCCTTTCCTCTCGTTTCTTTTTTCTCTGACTTTAACAACTGATATGTATTTATTAACATCGATAGGGAAAATTAAAGAAAGAAAAAAAAAACCGGAAGACATAACTCGATGACACCGTTTGGGTGCAAGATTGAGGGAGGTAAGCATACAAGATGTTAGTCTGTATCACAATCAGCGACCTCAGTGTCATGCGGTACCAAATTTCAATGACCAGACATTGTTTTTATTTTTCTAGTGTCACTAGTACAAGATTAGGCCTACGCCACTGAAAAGCTACAAATGCAAATCACAGCTAAATATTGAAAGGGATTGAAGCGCTTTCAATCCTTGCTCTTTGATGAAGCTCGTAGGTGGTTTAAGGTATCATGTCGCCCACAAAAAGCCCTCCAGCCAGTCTGCAGAGCTACAATACACCTATTGACATAAAATAGGTGTACTGTTTTGAACGGAATCGATAATTTTAGCGCAGCTCTGACATATGCTAAAAATTCCGACACTCACCCGCCCATGTGATGCGCTATTAGTGGCAATGGGGAACCCCCTCTATTGTGTCTTCTTTTGTGTCGATAGAATCTTTGGAATTCCTTTCAGATTTCCGAGGGTATAGAGCTTGCGCATCACATTGGGAGGGCTCCCTTTACCTCATATTGTGTAGGGTATCGCGCGCGCACATTGGAACCTACAGGCGAAATGAACGGTTTTTGCGTTTTCACAAACTGACACCCAGGCTTGTAAAAACAATACAGCGTGAAGACAAAATGTTTTTCCATCTGTATACATGTTGCATGGCACGGTACAAAAATTTAATGAAAAGACGTTTTAACTGGTGAAATTAGGATCGATGGAAACAAAAAATTTCTCTTTTCAAGTTGGAAACCGTCGTTATATTAATCTTTCTCTGACAAGGCAGACAATATTTTCAGAAAATTTACCCCTCGGTTGGCGAGAGAGCAATAGGCTTTTATTACCTTCTCGTCAAATGTAAAATAGAATGGATTCTGTCCCTACGAGATCTTAACGGATTTCACTTTTACATTCATTTTTTGTATATCCGTACATATTTTATTCCAATCAACGAGTTCCTTTTTGAAATTCTAGTTTGTACTTCCAATATACAGTTAGGTTCCAGAAAGAACCGACCACTTCCTTACCCAACCAATCAAACTTGCGTTTTGGTTTGACACTTAAGATTTGATACGTAACTTTACAAGACTGTAGCTAATGTCTATCAAAAAAAAACAAAACAAAACAAAAAAAGTTGGCATACACTAGATATGGGCTCTTTGAAGTAGGGCCTAGTGAAGTTTATAATATCCTGCTCTGGCACTGACTTGTTGGTCAGACAGTAAAACTGGTTTTTCCCGAGGTAGAAAATAACTTTACAGCCTTCCTTATTTCTGGAATTGAGTGAAGAAACACAAATTGAACTCACCTCATTCCAGGCGGTGGTCATCTGGAAGCCCAAGACTCCCAGCATCAAGACAACAGCAGCTAGCGATCTCAACATTCTTCTTTCGAATTCAGAAACTTGCCAGAAAGATTGAATTAACAGGCCCGACCCGAGCAGATAACCTCAACTTAAGTGAAAACGACCGAAGCAAACCACTAGAATGGGTGAGCGGCCTGATGCATGACTTTTATTAGCAAAACTTTACATCCCATAATATCTTCCATAAAGCTTTCGATCAGCTTACTGACCATTTGGGTCCGGTGGAGGTATGGGCTAAAATATGCCTTTTCCGAGTTAAATTTGAATAAAATGTGGTACACTGAGTTCTTTAATTCACGTGAACATTAACTGGAATGCTTTCTACTAAAGACACTGTTGCTATACATCTTGATTCGTGTAAGATTTTGCTTAGCTCCGTAAGAAATACCTTCATCAATACGTTGTTTTCAGTAGATAAGGAGGACACAAAGGAATCCGCCCATTCCAGAAATGGTGGTCGCTATGCAAAACTTGCCCAGAATTACGAGGTGTAGCAACATGTCTTTAGTCTTCTGAATTCGAATGTTATGTTTATGTGCAATCGGATAACTCAGGGTATCAGATTTTATTCAAATTTAACTTGCAAAAAGCTAAGTTGATTCAGTATCTCTCTATCATAGCCTATAAACCCAGGTAAATACTTTTGAGAACAAAGTTATAATGAACCATAGAGGAAAAAAGTTCTATTCATTAAAATTGTCAAAAATATTTCGGCTTCCTCTCGTTGAATTTGGTTTAACAAAAAATATTATTCCAGAGGAACCCGCTGAGAATACGCGCATGAACTCAATTGCTGAACGCTTCTCGGCCTTCACTAAATGCTGAACTTAAACTCAAGCTTTTTTTCGTGATCACGTGGAACACGACCGTCATTTGCCAGTACTTGTTCCCAACAATCACTTTTGGGCAGTAGTCATGGAGGAAGGAAAACAGACTGGCGTGTCCTGAAATTATTGAATATTTTCGACAAAAATATCAAGGATCGTAGGTGAGTCTTCCATAGGTTAGCGTTTTGTTTCCCAAATTCTGCCTCCAAAAACCCCAAAACCGCCACTGGGCATGTACTTGTCGTAGCTTCAACGACGTCCGTATCACGAATGCTGATCTATCACACGCGTCCAACGCACGTCTGTGAACCAAACAAACAAAGTGGTCCTGCGTAAGGGTGCACCCCCGTATTTAGGCCAGAAATATGTCCGCCGAGCTCATTAATAAAAGTTATAGACTCAAAATATCTATATTAGAGAGTCGTGAGTGCCATGAAATTGAGGAATTGAGAACTGACTGACAGCAGGCTTTGGGAAAATAAAAGTCACCAGTGGGATTCGAACCCACCGTCTGACGATCTGATAACCACGATCTTAACCATGTGGCAATTTCAGAGAATTGCTTTTGGCCGTTCATATTTACGGAGATAACAAAACCATTAACCAAGTTACACCGCAGAGAATTTTGCTCTGCAAAGACTGAGTGATTACAACGCTACAATAGTGCATCATGTAGCAAAACGCACAAGGGGCCGGCGCACAAATCTTCCTGACAGCTTCTCCTTGGTAATTAAATGCGCTCATCAATATGAGAGAGTTCCCGGACTACACGTACGTCCGGACACGTCTGAGGGTGCACCCTTGCAAAAAAAGGCCAAAATTTGTCCGCCAAGCTCATTAATAAAAGTTATAAACTCAAAATATTCTATATTAGAGAGTCCTGAGAGTCGTGAAATCAAGGAATTGGAGTAATATGGCATTGAACCTCCCACGCGGACTTTGGTCTTGCAATTATGAGCAATTTGGGTGCAGTCGCGTCCGAAAGTGGCACTATTTGGCCGTTTTTCAGAGGGAAGGTTTTTCAAAATGGCCACTTTTCTGGGCAGGGACATTTTCTTCATTTTAGGGGTGGTCTGCTTCTGGTGAAAATCTCTCAAAAATTCAGTGGTCACCCCCCCCCCGAAATTTGAAAGGAAAATGAAAGGGGACATATCGATCATCGTTTTTTGTGCAGCCTGGACCTGTGAGAGTTGTGAATAATTTTTAAATATTTGTGAAGTGTGGGCATTATCATTGCTGTCTATGGGAATTTATTTGTAGTGGTGCACCACTAAGAAAAAAATTACGCATTTGGGGTGACTGATCATGGTGGCAACAGCCTAGCAACGGTATACAGCTTAAATGAAAAGATGGCTTCACACGTAAACGACAATTAGGCCGTTTTCCAATACTCAACTTCGTCTCCGTATCAGGCTTCGTTCCCAAAACCAATCCGCGATTGTGGGCCTAAAGCATTTAAAATTAAATTGCATTACTGTCAGCTTTGGCTCTCTTGCATCTTATTTGATGTTTTGTGGCACTATTAGACTATTTACTGCGCTTACAGGTTCAAAAGCAGCTAGTTAAAAAAAAACACACAGTTGAAGCCTGAGACGGAGCCGCATTTGAGTATTGGAAAACGGCCTCAGCGTTTTCCCTCAGCTGAGCGATGCCGAACTGAAAATACTGTGGACAACAAAGATGCCTCCTCCGCCAAGAAGGTTGTCAAAAATGCGGTTGAAGCGCTCAACAATTACTGTATCGCAAAAGGATTCGACTTCTGTTTTCTTTCATGATGATGTTTTGATTTTTAGAGGTTATTCAACAATATATATGAGTCATTCCCTGAAGTTCGGGCACACTTTGTGACGGCGTCCCTTGTTACATCGGTAACTTTGATTGTCGTTTATTTTCACATTACAACAGATTAAGTCAAATTATTCAGCAAAGATGAAGTACACCATTACAAGAACCTAGCAATATTTAGAACAATGTCAATTTAGAATCCACATGCAGGGAAAAAAGATGTTTATTTTACTGATGTAACAAGGGACACCGTCACAAACTGTGTCCGAACCTCTTGGAATGACCCATATAGAGGTAGGCCCACAGTCTTATTAAAACAAATATAACAGTGCGCCTTTTACAGCGCGCACTCCGTGCTTTTTCGTTTCCATCGATCCTAATTCACCATCCATTGCCAAACGTAATTGGTGCTTTTTTTGTGTACAGGTGAACGTCTGCAAAATGCCATTGTTCGCGCTGGGACATACAGGACTGTCGCCGCGAACCAGGCATGCGGGGCACCGATCACTGAGGTCGAGTTCGGTCTGTTTTTTTACGGGTTTCTTGTTCTCGCGCTCGAACGGCGGGAACACGACCCAAGAACACTGTTCTAGAAACAGGATCACACACCGCCTCCTCGTCGAGGTTTTACAGGATCACACGGAAAAACTCGTGAGACTTTGATCTTTGAACAGCTGCAAAAAGTAGACAGATAGCTTACAAAGACAGAGACAATGCATGGAAGTTTGCAAAATTAACATAGACCTAATTATTTTCCATAAAACATAAATTAATGAAAGCGAATTCAGCCCAGTTATCCAAACATTAACTCTTGGATGACGTACAAGTTGCTTGCCGTTAACTACCACTGTACCAGCAGCAAGAACTAATTGTTTATTCTCGGTGTTCGAGCAGTGGACCCATGATTAAAATCAAGCTGTTCGGGAACAAACGAGAACAAGTTGCCCGAACTCAGCCTGCTAGTCAAGCCCAGCCGTTGGGCGGGACCATCGAGATTAAATGTGATCGACCGTTGGGGGCGCGCTACGTGAGCGTCGACATCCCAGGAACCGCTACTCTGCAAGTCTGTGAGGTGTCAGTGGAAGTGCTGTCAAGCCCAGACTGCTAGTTTAATCCTGATTGGGCACGGTCCTATGACACAATAATGGACTAGATGACGAATCTTCAAAAAAATCATTTTGATTTCTCAATTTGTTTTCCTTGGTTGAGCCATATAAAATTTATTCAGATTAAAGTAACTGATGAATCGCTTTGTCGAAAAATCCCCCTTAGTTCAAATGTTATTCGTCGTTCTTAACTTCTGCAATATTTTATGTGTGCTCTCCCAAGTGGGAGCAATCAACCACGCATGCACCATTGTAAAATTTTCGTAAGTGAAGGACGTCAACAAATGGGACAAGAACATGTGAAAGGTGGATCTGATAAGAACTGACTTCTAGGAAATATTTGACCACAGGTACAGTCAATTTAAGACAAGCATTTTTTGGGAGGCGAAGTACAATCGTTGATGTATTTCCGGCAACAGTCACGAAGTTACGGGGAGATACCTGCGATGTTTTTGTTTTGTCTGGTTTGTTGGGATGAATGAGTTGGGCTTTTTTCCTTTCGTTTAGTTTGGAGTTTAAGGCTGTTGAATAGATTAAAATAGGTGGTGCTCCAATTTTCTAACGGTGAACAGTTGGTTTAATTCAATATTCTTTCAATTTTGGCTTTTAGTTCTTTTTTACTCAAGTAATAAAGGCTTCAATTTGCACGCAGTATCGTGTATGTTGTCATTTTCCTTTTCTAAATGCGTATGAACATGAGGAGAACGGCCGCCGACTTCATTATACAGGCCAATTAAGTTTGAAGTAACAGGCAACTCGCCGACATGTCCATATCAACAGTGAGTTCAATTGGGAGCAGCTTACGCTGGAATTCATCTAATCATAATTTATAGAAACTGGTTAACTGAACAAGACTCATTTGTGCTAACCAAACAGTTAATAAGTGCTTTTCTTTTTTGGTCAAGTCGCGCCCTGACAGGTTGCCGTGACGAAGTGACTTCTTTACTTTGACATGAAGTTTACAGGTTCCACGTGGTGGGGCTACCTTCAAAACAAGAAACACTACGTGTAGTGCGTCGCCCTTTGTTTAAGGTGTTTATAGAGGGCGCCTTAAGTTTCCTTTCATTACCCCCCTGCTTGCATAGTACATGCTACAAGTAGCAGGCCTTGATTCTGTTCTTTTTCACGCATTTTTCTGACTTGTGTTTTCATTAAAAGTGAGTTGTTGAAGAAAAGGTTTTTGTTGTGGGTTTTTTTAATGTAATTAGAAAGATTGTCGCGACCAACTGTCTCCAGGAAATAAATATCATTAACGGCAGCCACACAACAATGTTTTTGTTTTTCCTGCTCTAATTCTGATCTTTGAAAAAAACTATTCTTAAATCCATTCTAAGATACAATACATCAATCATTGTTACTTGCTTGCTAATGTAACATGCGAATCTGATAAATTATGTGCGTGGTCAGAGTTGAAGAAAAGACACCGTCAGAATGAAGGGTCTACAGTGTTTCATTCAGAAACTTGTATCATTAAAAATGTAGTGCGTATGAAGTTAACAAAGAAGACTGAACTGAAGATGGAATATTCTGAGGGACTATCGTGATGAATGGGTGAAATAAAAAGATGGAAAAAAT